TTCCTGCTAAGCAAGGTAAGAAAATATCTTCAAACAAAAATAAAAATATATTTTCCTTTTTTGCAAAACATGCACTTCTTTAAAAATGTTAAACGGTAAACAAAACCAGTGGAGTAAATAAATCCAGTAAAAGCTGGATAGAGATCTTATTTGCCCTCATTTGTTATATATAATTTTTATTCTGTTTATAAAAGCAGGTTGATAACACCTCTAAATATATTTTTATTCCAGTGCCTTCTAGCTAGACTTTAAAATGTCACCTTTGTCTGGTGGGGGTAGGGGGTCCTCAGTGACTGCTATTGAAATCACATGACCTTGATGACAGAGTCTCCAAAATATATTATGAGCTGGAGTATATTTTCCTACTGCTTTCAAGTTGTTTTTTGATTTATCATTTGTTTGTTTGTTTGAATCCCAGAGTCTATTTAAACAACCTAATATGAACCTCTTGGACAAAATGATCCTGATAACCCTTGGCTGGGTGCCCTGGGTCTCACTGTAAGAAAGCCACTCTGACAGCTGAATTTTACGAGTCTTTTTCAAAGGAGTAAAAATTCTGAAGTAATTCAAATACATACAATTATAAAAGGTGGGAAGATCATCAGAGAAGTCTTCTACATAAAAGAATTCAATGTGAAGAAGAAAATAGTAATAGGAAAAATAAGGAAACAAAATAGTTGCTTTTATTGAATGAACACCCACTAATGATAAGACATTCATACTTGAAATGTACATAGACTTTTCACTTAAAATATTCTTTGTCAGTTTTTCAAGCTTTTACTGTAATCTTCCATAAGAGATTTAACATAACAAAGGAAATATTTTCCCAGCTCCACATAAATGATAACCAAAGGCTTCCTGTATCAACATTTGTTTCACACATTCTTCCACAAATGTACCTGGCATGTTACTAAATACCTTTGATTTATTGTAGACACTCAGAGGCCACATAAATGGTTTAGCTGGCTAGAATTCTGCGTACCTGGAATCTGCATTCCTCTTTAGGTGGAGCCTGAGGAGCCACAGGAAAGGGTGATGGGGAAGGAAGAGCCCAACACAGAGCGCTAAGAGCTGCCAGCCCTGGGCAAAGAGAAGCATCACAGGTCAGACACCATGTGGTCGTCAGAGATCCAAGTCAGGGCAAGTGTGACTGACAGGGGCTGTGAGAGCAAAAGGATGATGGCAGTCTTACTTGACCCCACAATGTTTTTGCTTTTTCCATATATACATTATCTGCTTAGAGCGTTTATAATACATAAAAACATAAAAGCTTCCTATTGGGTCAGAACCATAATCCATCTAGTTGTATATATTGTTGTCTACAACTGAGGTACCAGAAGACATGATATGGTAGTCCTTTTTGATATCACACCCAAAGATTAGGGAAATTGTTGCTTTTTGTTCGTTTATGTATTAACTCATTCATTGAAATATAAGTAATGGCACTGAGAAAGGGCAGATTGAAAAATAGTAAAAAAATTATTTATACAAAAAGCAAAACCTATCTACCCATATATAGATACATACCTAAAAAAGGGGCAAGTACAAAAATATTAACAGAGGTATGTCTAGGTAACAGAATTGTATGTGATTTTTATTCTTCTCTTGCTCTGGACTATATTCTATTTTCTATCTTAATTTTTTTAATTAAGCAAGTATAACTTCAGTAATTTTTTAAATGTCACATAAAAAAGGAGAAGGGGGAAAGGCCCTGCCCTTGAAGAACCTACAGTCCAGGAGAAGACATTATATATTGAAACAGTAATTTATAATATAACATCGTTAATACATTGTAATAATATTTTTTAAGTATAACCAATGGAGAGAATGACTTACTGTTGTGGAAGTCAGGAAGGAATATATGGGAGAGATGTTGCTTGGGCTGGACGGTGAAGTCACAGGTAGGAAGAAAGCAGAGGGATCCAGGTAACAGGAATAATGCCAGGTGCGAGGTGAAGGATAATGCAAAGGCAGGGTGTGTTTGAAGAATGGGGAGAGTTTATTCATTCACTGTACACTGGAGGCAGGAAGTATAAAATGAAGTGGAGAAAGAGGAGGCCACTGGAGCCAGACTATGAAGGGCCCTTGATTCACATAAAGCTTAAGCTTCAGAAACCCTCTCATGCACAGGTCCCCTCCAAGTCCCTGGGACAGGCCCGATGAGCTGTCATAGTCATATGACATGGTCATACGTTCTTTTAAAATGTGTAAAAGTAATGTATTTTGTACTCTTTTTCTTGGAGAGTATTTGCTGCATAAGCCTCAAGTCCCACAAAACCTGGATCCACCCCTGAGAGTCTTACAGGCTAGGGTAAGAAATTTCTGTTTTATCCTGTAGTTGACAGGGAGTCACTAAGCAAAGATTAAAAGAGGTATTCATTGAAGAGTAAACACAAGTGACCAAAAACTCCCTGAAAATAAATTCAACTGCACTAATAATTAAGGAAATGCATCCAAAATCAATAGTGAAATGCTACTTTTTACCTGGAAAGAAATTAAAAGAAGAATTACACTGAACATTGTTGAAGATGTAGGAAAATTCTAGAAGTGGACTCAATGAAATTCACTGGACTTGCACACAAAATTTAGGTTCAAAGATGTCTAATGTAGTGGTATTTATTATAGGAAAAATAATTGGAAAACCCTAAATGTATAGTAATTGATATTAATGCAACTAGTATTAATGTTTTGTAGACTGTTGAAGGCTATAGGGGAAATGATTATGTTCTATAGTTTTTAAAAAGTAGTATGTGCACTGTAACTCTAGTAATGTGAAAAACTGTGAGTGCATAAAGATATACACATATACATTTATATATAAATATAGAAACTGAAAGGATATACATAAAAATATTAATAGCTGTTTTTCCATTTCATACTTCTTGTAATTTTCCAAATGTCTGTATTGGATATGTATTATTCTTACAATCAGGAAAACAACATCATTTAAAATTGCATATATATGTATCAACAGATACCTGCAGTGGTCCTGGTTGATTCTGTGGCTGTCTCCGTCTTGTCTGTTTAATGAGCTGACAGCAAATTTCATTCTGTAGCTCAGGATGTGTCAAACAGATTTGCAAAGCACTCTGGGCTAGAGATATGTGGTAATCAATTGCAGGAGAGTCAACTGCTGCATTTATAAAAAGTTGGCAGGTCTGAATTAAATGAAAAAAATAGATATACTCAGGGTGAGAAATGATCAGATTTATTCTGTATGAAATATCGATTCTCTTCTTAGCAAGAGCTTTGTTTAAAAGGATGGAAAAGGATATATTGTGATAACACTAATCAAAAGAAATCCAGAGTGGCTACATTAATATCAGACAGAGTAGATTTCAGGGCAAGGAATTCTGCCAGAGATAAAGAGGGTCATTTTATAATGATAAAGGGGTCAGTTCATCTAGAGGACATAACAATCCTAAATGTTTTAATAACATAGCTTCAAAATACATGGTGCAACAACCTATAGGACTATAAGGAGAAACAGACAAAGTTCACAATTAAAGTTAGAGATTTCAATATCCCCTGTCAATATTTGAGAGAACAAGTAGGCAGAAAAATCAGTATGGATTTAGAAAATCTGAATAACACTATCAACCAACTTGAACTCATTTGTAGAATACTCCACCTCAGAGCAGAATATGCATTCATTTTAAGGGCACATGGAACAGTAATAGCCTCTGGTCTACCAGACTATAAACTTCATAAAGACAAGGACTCTTTCTTATTTATCTTTGTATTCTCTACACAGCACAGAATTTCTAAACTTATTTGACTACAATCCCTTCCCATCTTTATTTTTTTCTAGTAATACCAATTGGCATCTTTAAAAACTAGTTTACTGAGGAAAATATTTTGGGCAATAGTAGAATAAATAACTTAAAGTGAATGCAAATAAATACTTTTTTCCCCCAAAGAGATTAAATTTTGGAGTAGGTTACTAGTAAAAGGTTATAGCATAATCTTTCCTAGACATTTTCCAAAGTAGGATATTAATACTTATCATTCTCCATTTTAACAGTTCATTGTAATAAAACTGTGAAAATTTGTTTTGTTCCTGACTAGAGGAGTAGGTACTCTTGCCTGAGAAAGTTTAGGATGGATTGCCTAAAGGCAGGGGAAGCAACTTCAATACTCATAAAGTGTTCTATCTATGAATTCTTAAAAATACTTGCATGCTAATTGAACCCCAAATTATTGTAATAATGTATTAAATAAATTTGTAGTTATAGTGTAATATATATATATTTGTTTCAATGAATTAAATATATTGGGCTTATTAATGACATTGATATTTGGGAGTAAAATGAAGTTCTGAGAGTGAAATCGGTTTCTTTTGAGCAGGCTATTTTAAAATGTCAGTCTTTTTTTCTTACAACAAATGGCAGAAAACAAAAGAAGTACTGCTTGTGACAGCATATAGGTGGATCTTTGCTTTTTTACACAATCTGACAATCTCAACCTTGTAATTGGAGTGTTTAGACCATTTACATTTAATGTAATTATTAGTATGATCAGGAATAAATCTTCTGTCTTGCTATTTGTTTTATATTTGTCTCATATGTTCTTTTTGCTTTTCCTCTTTTTCGGCCTTTTAAAAAATTACTAGAGTATAATTTATGATTCTGTTTTATGTCCTTTTTTGGCTTATCAGCTAAACCTCTTTGACTTTTGTTAAGTGGTTGCTTTAGGGTTGTAGCATATATTTTAATATTATCACAGTCTACCTTTAAGGAATATTATACCACTTCTTGTAGTATAAGAACCTTATAACAGTAGACTTACATTTCCCCTCTCTCAGTCTTTGTGCTATTATTGTCATATATTTTATTTCTACATATAATTTTAAACCCCACAATACAATGTTATTATCTTTCCTTTAAACAGTCAATTATCTTTTAGAGAGATTGAAATAATAAGGAAAAATTCTTATATATTTACCCACATATTTGCCATTTCTAGTGCTCTTCATTCCTCTGCATAAATCCAGATTTCCATCTGGCATCATTTTCTGACTGCCTAAAGGACAGTCTTCTGGGGAGTAATTGGTCTTCTGGGGAGTAATTCTTTCAGGTTTTATATATCTGAAAAAGCCTTTATGTCACTTTGTTTTTGAAAAATATTTTCACTGGATATAGAATTCTAGGTTGATAGATATTTTTTCCTTGCAGTACTTTAAAGACGTTACTCCACTATCTTATGACTTGTATAGTTTTCAATAAGAAGTCTGCTGTCATTCTTATCTATGTTCTCTATGTGTTAGGTTTTTCCTCCCAGACCACCACCCTCTTTATAACTTGTCTAAAGCAACTGATTATGATGTATATTAGAGTAGTTTTTGTCACATTTCTTCTGTTTGAGATTCACTGAGCTTCTTAAATTTGAGAGTTTTATAGTTTTCATTAAATTTGGGAAAAGAAAATTTAAGCCATTATTTCCTTGAATATTTTTCTGTTGCCCTCCTTCCTTTTGTGGAACTCCACTTCCATATATGTTAGGCTGATTGAAAATATACCATTGCTCACTGTACTGTATTCAATTTTTTTCAGTTTTTTTTAAACTCTGTGTTTCATTTTGGATAATTTTTCTTGCTATGTCTTTAAGTTCACTAGTCTTGCCTACTGCATTATCTTACCTGTTGTTAATCTCATCCAGGGTATTTTTTTCATTTTAGCCACTACATTTTTCATCTCTGAAATTTCAATTTGGATCTTTTAAATATCTTCCATTACTCTTCTTAAAATGCTTATGCTGTCCTCTACCTTCTTGAATATATGAAGTATGGCTGCTAGTCTCCAAGATGGCCACCAATGATCTCCATCTCTTGATATTCAGACAATATCTGAGGCAACCCCCTTCCATATTGTACTAGAGTTAGTCTGTGTGACCAGTAGAATATGGCAGAAATGATGATATGCCATTTCTGAGGTTAGGTTATTAAAAATCAATGTGACTTCTATCTTGAGTACTCTACTTGATGCCTAGTGCAGTAGGAGGTCTTTCCATTCTGGATGATAGGAATACAAACTATTTTCAGCTATGTGTAAGCTCCAGGAATTTTTTTTTTTTTTTTGGTCTATTCTCTTCTGGTAGT